ACTGACCATACATTCTTATCATCATTATTCTCAAAAAGAAAGTTTTTCCCCAATGTTCTATCTACCTAGTAAATAAACTATATGTATCAACAGAATTATTGGACAAGTATTCAAACAAAAAAGTTAGCACTAAGATCTAAATAATACTAATTTTTGAGTACTGATGTTCTCACTTGGGCCTCCTTTTTCATTCTACACCTCCCTCAATTACAAAATTGAGATCAGTAAGACTACTCGCAAGAATGAAGTAATAGAGTCACACTCTTAATAATTAACCCTTGTTAACTGCTTCAGCATGGGTGTTATCACTCTAACCTGTCATAGAAATGTTCAGGCCTAAAGGCAGGGGAGGTTATACTCACTGAGATATGAATACATGTGCAAATTATGTGCATAAGAAAATATGCTGTAATAAAAACAAAGCCACTAATGATTTAGTGCTGTCATTAAGTCCTGCGCTCGCTAGATACCAATAGAAGGTGGATGAAAAATAAAAAATAAAAATAAAATAAGAAAATAATAATAATAAAAAAAAAATCAGACAAGTCACCAGCTGTAAGGAAGCCAGAATCATTTGTCTCTCCCTGCCAGTGGAAAAACATGTGTGCCAGTCATTACATACTCTGTGACAAGACTAAGGTTTCAGTTAATTTTTACAGCATTATATTCATGGCAAAACACACCTATTTTTTAACTGCTAGTTTTGCTCTCCCTTTTCCATGCATTTCTGTGACAGCCTCCTGTTAACCAAACATAAGCAACTGCAAAACAAGTATCCTACTGGCTGTGCCATGCGAATCCCAGTTTACCTGCGATGAGGATAATGACTTTACAGGAACTGCAACATCAGTCCAGATACAGAGTAGTAGAAACAAGACTGATCCTGCCTCCTGAGAATACAAGCATCCCTAGAACAAAATTACAAGGGAAGGATAATTAAAGAGCACATTCAAAATAGGAATGTAATCTGAGTAGCATATAAAAATAACAGGATAACAATATCAAGAATATAATTATTAAATAGTTCTGTCAAAAATTCCTATTAATCATCTACAAAACAGAAGAGACTGATCTTTGGAGTAATACTACATTTTAATTCCAAAGTGAATGAAATAGTATTAAGGAATCATTAACATGGGCAGGTAATGATTTAGAACAGGAATAGAATGCTGCTTAGTCAGACATGGCTGCCATTAAGACACATAGTAAGAAGTGGACACCTTCATAACTCATCCATGTAGATGAGTCCTTTTATCATATTATATTCAATTGAGAAGTTTTGCTCAGTTAGGTAAAGCTATTTTTAATTTGTTAAAACAAAGAATGTAGCAAGAAAGGGATAAGGACTCTTGACATCTTTTGGTGCTGCCTGTACAGCTACTAGGCTTTCCCATAATATGCTGAAGTTGTATAACTGTACTAGTATTGCTTTATAGTCAAGCTAATGATCTTCAGCCTGGATTAGTTTGGGATCAGTGCTGTACTCCTATAGGTACATGGTTACCACTTCACTTGCTGAAACATTGCACAAAAGTTCTGAAGAAATACCCAACAAAACCTGACTGCAGAAAGGATTACACGCCACAGTATCTTCTTGGGTTGGAGTCCTAAGAACTACTGTTCAACCAGCTATTTCACTCTCCCTGTCCTATATGAAGGGGAAATTAAAATAAGTTTGGATATCATACAGGCCATCTCCAAATATATGTGACCTATCTAAACAAAAAAATGAGCGATGACTTAAGAGGTAAATTGTATTTGCTTCCTTAACATATAAGATCTTAAAATAGCAGGAAACGTGATAGGTCTTACATATACATTTTCACAGAAATATTTGAAGAGAAACTGATCAGCGGCTCCATCCTCGTGCTTGCTTTCCAGACCACACAAATACAGCGGAAGAAACAATCTAAAATTATTTCTGTGAGTTGAACAGGAATGCTCACATAATCACTGGAAATGCTCTTAATTGGTGTGGCTCAGTGATGCAGTTCAGAGCTGTTAAATCCTCTGCCTCTGTGAAACTTTTCATGTCCTGGCAATCGCAGTCCAGCCAGCAGTTTGTTTATCATATTCAGTATGAGTTTCCGGATCTCCAACAAAGTGGTATTTACTCCAAGGCAGGGAAGACTGCAGTAATCCAATAAGTTCTCATTAGCCTAAAATGCAGAAACATCTGCTGGGGTCATGAGCTGCTTACTTGCTGTTGATGAGCAAAGAATCAGCTCCATTTGCAGCTAGTGTGAACAAAGAATTGTAGGGTTGGGGGGTTGAGGAGACAAACAGGCCTCAATTATCTCCTGGGCAAAAAGGGATGCTCCCTTATGTTGACCCCTGGTGACCTCATCACAGACAGCACAGGAATTACAGCAGAAAAACCACTTGGACTCAGCCCTCCTGACCTGGTGGTTAAAACATTTGGGCAATACCAGCAAAACAGAAGAGAACGTGGTCAGAGCCCTCCAAGAAATACCAGAATCCAGGCAGCACAATCTCTACAACGCAAAACTAGTTTAAAATGATCTTTACCAATTGCCTTACAGAGAACCAAGAACAACAGAATTTTGCAGAGGACAAATATATTTCCATCATGTCCTTCCCCTCCCCCAAGCTCAGACCTAGTTGGCTAGTTTCACAACTGTTTTCAGGTTTGGGGAGAGAAAAAAAAATGCCCAAAATATTTTTAAAAAGCCCTAGAACAATTCAGTGTTAATAACTGGGCAATATGAGCTTCTGGCTCAAAAGATGAACACACAGGTATTAAGTACTACACGAATTCAAATAAAACTAAATCCATATTGAAACAGTACTATAGAAGGAAAAGCATCATTATTTCTAGGTGCAAAAGTAAGAAGATCAATAACCTGCAGGAGAAGAGCTAAAGTTAAGATTCAGAGCATGTGACATTGTCAGAAAATAAGTGGAAAATACAAAATAAGTGGTGTCACATCTGTTTAGTTCCTGCTCCAGTGAGCCTGTAGTCTTGTTTTTTTCGTTTTCGTACTGTGCTGAATATGACAGCATCTAATGTCTGCAGCTACCTCAAGGTGGAGGAGTCAGCCTGAAACACTTCTTTTTCCTTCAAGAAGACAAAACAGAACCAATTAGAGTATCCAGTTAAATCAAGATGGAATTAAGTGAGTTCAAAATATAAACCCTGTCCTAAAGATGAGCTGCTTAACCTAACACTTATTTGTACAAATAATTACATGCGTTCCATTTAGGCAAAAGAACAGCCAGGATGCTCACATCAATGCCTCTGATTCCCCTGAAACAATGTGTACACATCCCCAAGCACTTTATTGTTTTGTACAAGCAGTTGGCCTTTAGCTCCAACATTTCCACTTTGCCTTAGGCTTGTTGTATAGACAATGACTGCCACCTGCAGCAAGGATGCAACAAGGATGAGCTACTTTCCTGAAAGCTTTAGAGCTTTTTAATTGCAACCACAGCAAGTACCTTCCTTCTCCACCTTCCTTCAAGGGTGAGAACTAAGAGCATTTGATTTCACTTTACAATATCAATGTAGATATAATAATTTTAAATAGCTTAAAAATTGATCAGAAAGTCCAGAAGGAAGCTGAAACTGTTTTCTTTCACCCCAAATTCAAACAACTAAGTGAAAGGGAATGTTAATACCAGACCACACACATTTATTCTTTAGATGGAAATTGATGTTCCTGAAATAAAAGCACTTCTTAAAAAACAAATATTTTGTTGTCTGTTGCTTAAGTAATATTTTGGTGCACCGCATACAACTGCATTTCAGTGGTAGTAAGTCACTTAACTAAAGGTGATGGGTTCGATTTAAAAGTATTTCCTAAAATTATTATTTTTTTGAGATGAATGAGGTCTACCATCAAGAAATCCAAGGAGAGACATTCTGCTTTGTGTCTGTGCAGAGACAAAATTGTGAAGACACTGTAAACTTGATTATTTCATCTCTACCAACTCCATTTTAAGAGCCCTCTTACCTTTTAAGTCTTAGCATGGCACACTTATGAACAGGTTAAAGGCATAAGGAAACATATTCTAGCAATTATCCAAAACCTAGGAAAAACTGTTTGACCAGTTGTTTCATTGTATGGGACCCTTTCTACTGACATCTCAATCCACCAAAACGAGACTGCTAATTTACCGCTAACCCATGACTTGACTGCTTAGCAAATTTCTCCATCCAGTGGCCAAGTTTGTAGGTGCAGCTCGTGTTCCTGAGCAGGAATACAATCATGCTGTGTACAGTAGCTGAGGAAGAAGAAATAATAGATAACACCTTAAAACAACTGATTGTCCTCTCACTGGCTCATGGATAAGTTGCTACGAAACAATGATACGGATCCTATATACAAGAAAAGTCTTAATAGCTTGTCACCTATGGACTTCTATTTCAATGTACTGTACATCTACCGATCCAGTTACTATAGTAAAAAATAGGAGCGAATTAAGGTAAGGGGAGATGGAACTTACTTAAACCCTTGCTAATAGCAGGAAGCAAGCCTGAATCATTTATAGCATTTAAAAGCACTTACTTCAGGGTGCATAAGGAGAACGCTCCAGGTGTTTCTTCAGCAGGCAAAAAAGCTTTACAGACACAGCTTAAACCAGAAATGTACCATTATGGTGACAATACAAAGCAAAGCATCACAGAAAAGGGATACACAGATAAAAATACAGGGTACGGCATGTCTTTCATAGAGAAACACATTCCACTTCTAAAACAAAGAGTATGTTAAAGAACTTCCACATCTGGCACGTATGTTCATAATGTTCACAGTTTGTCTCATCAAGGCACTTACTCAATATTTAGATTAAAAGGTTTCTCTCCGCATTCAGAATCTACTGGCCTCAGAATTTTAGGTACCAGTAGGATGCAGCTTGCCACTGGGACTGGTTAGTGCCCATAAGCCCACCACTGTATACATTGTGTAGTATTAGCCCCGTGTAAACCCAGATGGAAACAAAAGCTTCTTTAGGAGATCAATGAAGATTTTCAAACATGATGGCTCTTAACACAGCAGTGGAAAACAATCTTTATTGTAAAAATATCAAGTACTTAAAAAGAAAGTTTCAAGTTAATACAAAAGTGTATGTTTTAGTAACTTGTTTCCATGGCAATTAGGCAACAATTTACCAAAACTTTCCACTTGTTACAAGTGACCAGGCTCCTCTTCCATTCATCAGCCTCATTATCCACACAGCTTTTCCTCTTGGAAAATCCAGAAACAAGGGACAATTAAGAGTTCCTCCAGAAGCTGTTCACTGAGTCACCAATGATGTACAATGCTGTACATCCCTACAGGTCCTCCTGACTAAATCAACACACAGTACGACATACACAGTTCCACATTTCTGTTCTGATACATTGCCCTCTAAGGAACACTACCTTGGGAAGAGACGTAAAGCAACGCACTTGAAAACAGGTGCAATAAAGTAAGAACACATAGTTCATATTTGCCAAGAATATGATTTCTTATTATGTACCTTTCGATATTGTCAAGGCAGCAAGTGACGAGAAAGGCACCACAGAAATGCATGTTTAAAAAAGATGTCTCCTTATAGGGCAGCATGCAGGACAAAACACCATTCTTATGTTAGTTTAGTCATCCACGCTGCTTCTTTCATATTCTGGTATAACTGAAGAACCGGACAAGTTGTATGTTCATATGTAAATGAAGGGTGTGAAACAAAGAAGCAAAAAAGATAACAAGTCTAATGATACTGATTTAGCACCCACCCATTAGTAAAAAAATAAAATACACAAACTTAGTTGAAGTACCAGTGTTTCACAACATCTAGTCCATAATTGTCTTCACATATACTTTGATTATGCAGTGAAATTTCTTTACTAACTTCATATGACAGGTTCTGCACTTGGGCGAAGCTCCTGGAACAAAAAAAGCAGGGTAAATGAGTTTCTCTGGAGGATAACAACTTTTACTTAATTAACCACAAAGACTATGCACACAGACACATCATTCTCCTACCGCATAGCCACTGAAAGAAAAAAAAAAGTAAAATAGGAATTTTCTCCTCAAAGGCTAAAATTTGGAGAAGAGGAATAGAAATTTGCAGGAGAGGGAGATGAGTGGCTTCACAGTATATCAGTCTTCAAAGAGTTCAGTTATATTCTCTTCCAGGGAAATGAAGGAAGGAAAGAAAATTTATCATGTTTTATCAATTCCTTGTGCTCAGTGATACTACTTTGTATTTGTTGACAATACTTGGGAGAAAAATAATTTTGCGCTCCTTGTACCTCCCCAATAATGATGTCAAATAGAGAGGGAAAGTGCACACTTTAATAGGGAAAGAAGGAAAAACAAGAACAGTTATATTTGTACAGTTATTCAGACAGAGTGCTTCCAGCTCGCTTTGCCTCCTGTAGTTCTCCACTCTCCTGCACATTTGCACTTGCTCACTGGAATTCTCAGTAAAATTGCCAGAGAACAGCACATTAGACATTATTTTGTAGGTAGCATAAGGACAGAAATAGAGATGTCTGCTACAAACTCAATTAACCCTCTAATATCCATTCTGGATTCAGGGGTAAGATAAATAGATTTTTCTCTGAATATTTAGACAGAGTCTTTTCACCTGATTGTTGTAAGTACCTTTGAAGCTCTTTATCCAGTTCTTGAGACACCTCTTTAATGTCTTTCAGTACAGTGCATGCTTCTGCACTTTCTTCTGAGTAGCTTGGCATAACTTCTGCCAGAAGTTCCTGTGTGATGGTTAACTGCTTTTGCATTTCATCTACAATTTAAGAGATTTAGAAAACATCTCATTGAACATATAAAAAAAAGTTTGTGAAAGTGTACTTGATAAATGAAATGAAATTTTCATACCTAAGTACGTTGGCTTATCTCCCTCTATGTGAATATTCCTTATGGGTAATTCATGCCTAGTAGCATCCAGGGAAGCTGCAAAGCTTTTGTATTGCTCTTTAAAGCGCCCCAAAACAGAAACAAGAGGAGAAAGTACTTCCATCTGAAAAGAACACAAACAACCAACACTTCTTCACAAAGCAGCCACTTTGCTAGTACAGTCAGAATGTATGACCTGGCTTTTCTCTATATAGAATGTGATTTAGTCTGGGTCAATACAGAAAAACAATTTGCAGAATTATATGTATATAAAAGAAAAAAAAAAAACAACCACATACAAATGCTACTCTGACATTGACAGAAGAATTCAGAAAGTCTGTGGTGTGATATTCCTGTCCCACTGTTTAACAGGTTTTTCCTCTATTACCTACCTTGCCTAGATCAATAATAGTTTCCTTGTTACCACGGCAAGAAGTACTAGCAACATAGCAGGCAAGGTGCTTTACATTCGATCCTTTGACTGCAGCTTACAGCGCATTCACAAGAGACAAGTCTTAATTTTTGCAATGCATTTTGTTTAAGCAAGCATAAAAGTTCAGTTTTGAAAGTCAATTACTCAAAACATGTTACTCTTTCTATTTGACACAACAAAACTGGGAAAATGCTGAGAAAGTGTGGAGGCTTTAGCTTCTAAGTTCATTTACTGTCAAAAAAACACTAAAAACTTGCCTTCTTCCAACTGGAGCACAACTATTGCTGTCTAACTTATAAAAATATGACAGATAAAGGACAGAAGATGTTCACTACTCATTTAATGGTTAGCATCTTGGCTCTAGTCATAACTGTAATTGCATAACTTTCAGGATGTTAACATAATTTTAAGATGTTTACAGTCGATGCACAGGAGACGTAAGCTGCTGTGGCAACCTGTGCACTGTTGCTGCTCCTTGCCTAATAGCTCTCTAACTTCTCCTTCCTGCCTATCCACAAGGGACAACCAAAAAAGTGACAAAGGCATTTGTTTAGATCATTAGAGAGCACAACATGCCACAACAGGAAGTAGATATTTGAGATGCATAAAATTGTACCACAGCAGGCCACAGGAGCATAGAAACCTTCTCTTGAGAAAGGACCACTTATTAAGATGGACTGTTTAAACACAGGAGAAGAATGAACTGTAATAAAGCCTACCTGTTTGTCTAACGCCTCTTCAAGTCTCTGCTCTCTCTCTCTGAGCAGAACCTCACGCTTCAACTCATAGAGTTTCTCCTGTTCTCTCTCCTTTTCTTCACACAACAATAACAAGTTTTCTTCTGCTTTTTTCTCAAGCTCAGCAACATCGTTTTCAGCCTATTACATCCAAAAAATATTCATAAGTAATTAACATATTCTGAAACAACAAATGTAAGCCTCATATCCAGGTCAAAAAGTCTCAATGAAGGAATTGTAGATATTGTGCAATAAGCTCAGCATGTTATAATTAAAGCTCTCCAACCATCTTCTCCCCCGGTATTTTTTGGGGGAAGATATACATATACAACATCAAATGAGCAAAGAACAAAGTTACTGCTACAACCCCGAACACAAAACACACTTACTCCTGTTTTTTTTCTGAAACTTCTGCATATCCTTACTTCATGAAGAACCAGCACCAGCTTAATAAAGTGGTACGAAGCCCACTTTAAGAGAGTTTTCAAAGCAAGTCATATAGTTTTACAACCATAAACATGTAAGATCATGAATATAACTTTTAGGAATCTGAATGCATAGAAGAACTTGACACCAGAGTTGTTTAATTTCTTTTCAATTTGAAACACCAAATACTCGACTGACTCACCTTCACGCTTAGGTAAGTTAAAATCAGTGTCTGAGATGCCAGCATTTCCCTCAGAACATCAGTATCACATTCCTTTATAAATAAAAGAACATTCTAGATCAATTTTGATATTTAAACGGTTATATTTTCAGTGTGTAAACAAATTACTGAAAGTCCAGTTTGTGGCCACAATTGGTATTATCATCTACTGTCACCTAGATTAAGCTTTATATATTTTTTTAAGAAAACAAAAAACAATGCATGTTAACTAAATATGCCTATTTGTTCTTTGTTCCACCACTCTTTATACTGTTTTCAGCAGATGTTTGAAACACAGGTATAAAACTTGAAGTTTCAGTACTATGTTGAATAAGTTATCTAAATAAGGCACTTTAAATTAGGTTGAATCAAGGTTAGTTTTCTGAGAAAACATGATAGAAAATACTTAAAGATATTATGAAATAACTTCAAAGCATACACAAGAATACAAAAAGAATCAAGCTGAAGAGATACTGCAGTTAGAGCAAATTCTTTACCACAAGGAACTGAAGTAAAACTTTGAGTAAAACTGAAGTAAAATTTTGAGACAAGACAAATATTTCTAAGCAGCACAACAAACCTGACTTCTGCCATAAGGCTTTAGATTATCCCAGAAACCTTTACAGTTTTACCAAGTTTAGAGAAACAGAAAATCTTCATTTCACACATTTCAAAATAAAGATACTTAACAAATGAAAGCAGTGAGACTTACCGATTCCTGGTTTTCTCCACATGTCCCCGTATCTTTTTTGCAAGAAGATTTTGAACCAGGAGTCCTGGTAAAGGTAGTTTTACCTGTATAACACGAGAAAATTATGACTCTTTTCTACCAATGTATGTAAGGTAAGTCAACATACCATCAGATTTTGTGCTCTATTTCCAGCTTTGATTACGCTAACTAGAAGACATGGATCACAAGCACTTAGCTGAAAGTGACAGTTACCGACAGATGAGGTACAATTCTCACAATGGCTGGTAATCTAACACTATCAGTTACAAATATTTGAGGGTACTTTGTTCTTTAATATTTGATCCTAAACTTAAAACAGCACACCACAAAGATATTGAAAATCAAGAGGTTATCTTAAACCCTGAAGGCCTTAATATGTTTTTTTAAAGACACATAAAAATAATATTTACCTTATTTAACAACAACCTTGCGTGAATATAGTAGAAATAAGGGTTACTTATAATCAAGTTATAACATATATATTAAAAATATTAAAACAACAAATTGAACACAAGTGAAAGCTTACCGTTAATAGCTGAAAGATCAAGGTCTGGTCTAGTAACTTTATCTCCATCTAATAATGTGGACTGCAAATCACTTTTCTCAAAGCTACTTTGATTTAATGAGCCAGAAACAACACCTGTAGAAAGAAGCTGTTATCAAACTAAAAGAAATAGAATAGATTATGCACAAGTTCACAGTTGTGTGTGCTTTTACTAATATAGGGGGCAACCTTGTACACATTTTCTTTTTATACATCACTTGTATACTCCCTAAATTACCTAGAAATGAAGTAATTCAGAATCTTATCCTCCTAAACATTCCACAGTTGAACTATACCACCCAGGTGTGAAAATAGAATCATATTATTTCGTCAAGATTTTCAAATCAAGATCTCACGAGAAATTTTTTTTGAAACTCTTGTTGAAGAAATAAAAATGGATCATTTTGCTGACAGGAATTTGTGGTCATTTATACTGGGCTTATTAAGAAAATTAAATACAAGAAGCAGGACAATGGTGAGGACAAAAGAATAATTCAAAGTCTTGCAGAAAAGGCAAGAGACATGCTTATTTGAGACAATCCAATTACACAACTTCAGATTAATATTCTGTGAGAATATCCAGACAAGAGTTTAATATAATGAACTTCAGTTTACACCCCTTAATCTCACATAAAGTTCTTATATATTAATACCTTTCATATACAAATAATTACCCGTGACAGAATATAAATCCACTCCTTTAGGTGTTTTTAGAGTTTTTAGAAGTTGCATGTGGTAGAAAAACAGTTTCAGAAAAGAAAAAAACACTTTTAAATTCTTCTAATAACACCTACCAGCAGAAGCTTTACTTTTCTGAGGAGGAACCGATTTTGGTTTAACTGCAGAAGGTGCTTTAGAAATCGACTTTGAAAAGGAAGTTGCTGTGGTATCCTATCAATCAAAACACAGGTATGAGTGAACACAGGTAGTAAGCACAATCAGCGGTATCTCTTACATCCTACTCGAATGCTGACAATAAACAGCTACTATCCTAGGGTGACCTGGTTCTTGGCAAGTCAGCTGAATACACCCCAAATTCCCATCCCAATCCGCATCAGTTTGGTGATGCATAACACCTCCCTCGTCACGACAGCAGTCTTTTGCTTAGGTCCCTCTTCCACAAGTCCGAGCGGCTCCTCGGACCGCTTCTACCCTTTGCCGAGCCCGCAATTTTGTGCCCGAGTACCTTCTTGGGGTCTTTCTTTTCGTACTGCAGGTAGCGGGACTTCACGATTCTTCCTCCTGAAGGAGCAAAGAGCAGTCACCGCCGGGCCCGCCACCGCGCCTCAGCCGGGGCCGCGCTTCCCCCCTCACCCCCAGCTACCTTTCTGCTTCTTCTCGGACCTTTCCCCGTCCTTCACCGGCGTCCCGGAGACGCTCTCCAGCGAGGACATCCCTCAGAAACACGGTAGGGGTTAGCAGCTGGCTCCGAGTGAAGAGAAAGGCGCCCAGCCGCTGCCGCCCCCCTCAGCTCCTTCCCCTCAGCCAGTTGGAACTCCCGCCCAGCACCGCCCCCAAGCTGCAGCGGAGCCGGGCACCCCCCGGCGGCTCGGAGGAGCGGGGCAGACCCTGCACCTCCACAGCGGCCACCCCCAGGGCTTTTTTTTTTTGAAGTTGGGGGGGATGCCTCCCACCTAGGCTGCGACTACATGGGGTGCTGCGCTCCCTTCAGCAGCGCAGGGAGTCTGCGAGGTCACCGTGAGGGACCGACAAAGCCCTCAGCGCGGTAAACACATCCCCGGTTAACTGTGGGGTGAGGCGGCGCCTCACATATTGAACCGCTGGAGCTCAACAAGCCCACACCGGGGCTGTCCCTCATGAGGCGGGCGGCGACCCCGAAGCGGGAGCCCCCACAGGCGGGGGATTACCGACAGGAGCCCAGCCACCACAGGCTCAGAAAGCAGCCGGCGAATACCCACTCCCGAGCTGTATTGGGAGCCCTGAGAGGAGCGAGTCGCCCTCATCCCCCCCGTTCCCGCCCCATTCCCCTCACACCGCCCGGCTGAGGGGGGGGCCGATGGAGCACGCGCAGTGCGGGCGCCGCCCTGCTCCCCCCGCTCCCCCCCCCTCCACCCGGAAGCGGCGCCTCAGCGGGGCCTGCGGCGGGCGGCGGCGGCGCTTCGCCGGCGGCTGAGGTAAAGGCGGTGGAGCGCGGGCCCCGCGCCCCGGGTGTACGCTCTTTTTCTATCTTTTTCTCTCCCTGCTCCGCCCGCTGACTGAATTCTGTGCCTGAGAGGGCGGCTGAGGGGCTGGGAGCTGCCCCTGAGGGGGTTTCTGGGGTGGGGGCGAGTGGCGGGTAGGGGCAGGGTGCTGCCGGGGGTCGCTTTGCGCTTGGTGTGCCGGGGAGTTGGATGTGCCTGAGGCCGGGGAGCTCGCCTCAGGCTCCTGGTGGACAGCGGGGACACCTCGCTTGCCTCCAGGCATGCTGCTGGCCTCCATCCCCAGTGTGCCGGCTTCACTGCCTCTTCTGGCGTTTCTGACGCTCTCTAAGAGCAGCCTGAAAGCTTTCCTACCTCAGCGCTTTTGGAAAGTGGCCTTCAAAGTCTCAGGGTTCTTGTTGTGTTTTGGTTTTGAGCTGCTCTTGATGATACCAAGGCTGCTGCTGTGTTGAGGCTGTGCTTTATCACGCCGACCGTGTTGCCTAACTGGTGCTTGTGTCTGGGTTGTGCTAGGTCCTCTCGGTAAGGTTGGTTTTGCAATCCCTGGAAAGTCAAACTGTTGCAAGCTGGGGGCATCTCTTTTGTTGCATGATTGCAGACTACATGTGGCACTCCTACTGTCCTAAATGTAGTGCTTTTATTGTCCTCCTTCGTGGCTATTTCGACCCTGCCTGATGCAGGTCTGTGTGGTCCTGATGCGAAGGGACTTCCTGGAACTGTTTTAAAACTTTTCTATTACTCTGTAAGTAGTCTGGCAGAATTATCACCCAGCTTTGTTTGCAAGTTTTATTTGTGGGAAGTGACAAGTTCTTTGTATCCAAATGAGCTCGGCTTTACTTGATTTTGCCTTCTGGAAATGAGTGGCTGGAGATGATCTCAGGCTCCTGGCAGATGTAATTAGCCTTTCAAAGATGTCATCAGTATCCTCCCACGTTGCTCCTAGAGGTGGGTTGGTATCGGTGTGTCTACCTAGCTCTTTGCAAATAAGACTTTGTTATGCGTAATTAGAAGATTTCTGATTTCAGGTTTGTTAGCTGGAATACATGACTGAAGGACTTGCCCTAAAGTAGCAGCGTGAGGTAACCCTGCGTTCCAGCTCAGTCTGTTGGTGTCACGCCCGTCAAGTTTTAGTAAGTCTTTGGTGTCTTTAGCTCTGAGTCTCGTCAGAAACAGATTTATTTAATGTAGGAAAAGAGGTACGGGTGACTTTTAATGCAGATAAATATATCTTCGCTTCAAGATTCACTGTAACTTTTTTCTGATGAGTTAGTTTTGGTCAGTTTTGTCTCGTAGTTCCAGGAACAATTACCGATTTTTACCTTTACCTGCCCTACATTTAAAGTCTGGTAACACCCCTACTTCTCAGGCTGCTGCTTCTAAGGCCGTTTCCCTCATTAGAAGCATTAACTCATTACCATCAGACTCGAGAGTTACTGCAGTAACGTGATGGAACTGTTTTTGTAGAACTGCGAAATATGCGTGGGCTTTTTTGCCTTTTTTGTCACTGTGCTTGAACGTTTGCCTCAAAAAGTGTTTTTTAATTTTTTATTAGTTGAATGTTGTAGGCTGTGCGGTGACAGGGCAGCTGTCTGCAAAAGGATAGTCTAATCAGAGTGGGAGGACTCATAGGTCTGTGTTTTTCTGTGGAACCTAAAACGTTTGTAGGACTGAATAATTCAGGAAGAGTAAACACAACTGATGAAAAATTTAACTGAGGTTCATTTAGTAAGTAATGCTTTGTACAGACTGAATTTTCTGACAAATGATGATTCAAACGTTAGACTTCTTGAATAATTCTGTGTGTGAATAACTCTTTGACTCATATGCATATAGCTCAGTATTACTTTGGCTAGATATGGTCTTTCCTTAGCTAGATGGACACGGGGGGAGGTGAGGCAGCCATGAGACAGGATTCTTTTATCTTGGGAATTTACAGAAGCAAAATTCCTGAAAGATGTAACACTGTTAACTATCTTACCAGTCAAGGAAAATAGTGAAAAAATGATTCAACAAAAAGTCCGTGGTTCAGTACTTTTTTTGTGAATTTGAAGGCTGAAGGTGTTTATTAACTCACAGTTCTAAGAAACAAGATGTGCTTACTCTGCCTGTCTTTTCCCTCTGACTTTTGGATTTTTTTTTTCAATCATGTTTACATTTTATTGAAACAACACTCTCTAATGTGGTTAAATATGATGCATATTTTTCAGGTAGACCTGTGCATGGTGCCATTTAAAAACATATACTATCACAATTCTTTTTAAAAACTTTAATCAGTGAGTAGCACTTCAGGGTTTGTGTGTTCTGATTAATTTTTTTATTAAAAAAAAAGCATTTGTGTATTTATTTTTTTTAAGGAGAAAACTGTCCAAAACTAATATCGAGAAGTCAATCCAGAGATGCTTATAAGGATTTATTTTTCTAATAGCTGGCTAGTTTAATAGATCATTTGTCTGCTGAAAGGGTTAGCAGTGCCTTTATTTCAGAATTCAGGTTGTATCTGATAGCGTGTCACCAAATGCAACTTAATGCAGATCCTAGCAAAACTTCTTCCTTAAAATACCAACAGTATTTAACACAAACAAGTGTTTTTAAAACTGTTTGACACACACAGGTTCTGCTGCTGATGAATCAGTTCTTTTTTCCCAATTCACAGAAACGTTCAGCCTAAAGTTTCTGAAGATAATTTCTTATCAGTGCAGTTGCAGCATTAGGCCAGTAAGATTTTTGCTTTGTTGATGTCTGTAACACCAGTAAGGATGAAATAAAGAACAACTATGAAAGGTTGTGAGAATAGTCTCAGAGTTTCTTTTGACTTTCATTCTTTGCTGCTAGCACCCTCGGTTGCTTTGCTTCCAGTCCTTCTTTTCTCAACAAGGCCACATTTTCATTTCCTCTGAATCATACTCAGGAGCACATCTGTAGCTATGACACCGCACTCAGTGTAAGTTAATAACATGCTATAGGCCTTTAAAGTCACGGTGAGCCTGATAAGATAGCCTTGTCTTGAGGTTAAATTGTGCGTCTGAGCCATTCAGAGGAAGTCTGGCCTGCATCTTTGATGAGCTGAGGGCATAGATTGGGATCAGGTCTCAAGGGCCAGAGGGAGGAGAGAGAAGGAAACTGAGAAGGAACTGCTTGCAATGGAGGTAATTTCTTTGACTTTTTCCTGTATTACATTGCATTACTTGCACTGCAGGCCAGCTTCTCCTTTGTTAGGCAGTCTGTTGCATACATGAACATCTCTGCCAGGGTTGATTGCAAAAAGTAGTAACAAATATGTTGTAAATTGGCATGCTCCATTCAGAACTACGCCTTTTGGAGTAGAAAACAAGAGCTTTTACTTAAAGAAAACCAAGGGTCAAGAGTTGTTAAGTTAAACAGGAAAAAAAACATTGAAATGTTACTAGAGCACAAAGCAATTTTCAGGTTAATCTACAAATGTCTGGTATATTTGGGGGGGGGAGGGGAAAGCTCAGCTAATAGCAACTGTGTGTCCTCATGATGTGAAGTGAGACAAGGGCTGAGGCCTTTGCCTTACCTATAAAGCACACTTGGTCCTTGAAATCCTAGGGTGTCGCTGTAGCCCTTTATCTTGCTGGAAGTTCCTTGCTTTGGAATCTAAGGAAAAGTAATAGCTGAATATTTTCACAATTGCTAAATGTTTTCAGTTTGATTGGAGGGAGGGGGCTCTTTTTGGGACAGCAGTTGACAAATCTGGTACTCAAGAATATTTAGGGTACATGTGATACCTTTCTACGTCTGTGTTGAAAAATACTTGATGAACGATGTGAGGAGCTCAGATCTTGTGGATTGAGGAATGCAGCACTGGAAACGTACATGAAAATGTGAAGAACTGGAATATTACAAAGTTGATCCTCAACAATTTTGCCGTAATGGTAGCTTTCCCTTTTTAGCCTCACTATGATTCATTGACTAAACATGTGGCTTCAAATTATGGCCTTATTTAAACTAAACGGATACCCTGCGCTGATTGGGGAAAAGTTCTTTTCTAGAATTTTACAACATTACTAAATAGGCAATGTTGGCTTTAATGCATATGATGAAAATTCATTAGTTTGATGGAGACTTGAAGACGTTTAGAAAATACCATAAAAATTACCGTGTAGAATTTGACTGTTCTCTATTCCTGGTAATGTTGTTGGGGTGGCGGGGAGGAATAACATTACAGATCAATGATAAATCATGTAGCTTAGTATGTTTCTTTCATAAAGTATTGAAGTAGTTACTTGAAATGTTGCCCTATTTGGTGATTTAAGTGGCAAATGTAGCCAATCCTACAACAACATACTTAAACACTGCAGCCTACTTTCAGTTGGATTGTTGTTTGGTAAACCCAGTGGTTTTATGTGTGGCTTTGTTTGTTTTATAAGCAAGTGAAAGTAATAATTAATAGGCAATCTAAAAACAAATATAGCTTTAGACTGTTGTCTTATAGATGTTTTATGTTAGTACTATTGACAAATACACCATTTGTAGGTTTGCAAAGATGGGGTAGTGGATCTTGGAAAGAGATTTTAGGTTGTGAAGACTTGCTTCCATTTTTGTAGACCTATAGGAATTACCCTGCTAGGATAGCTGAGTAAAGGCAGCCTCTAACCAGTACCTTGTGTTTAAATTTGTCTTGCAGTATTCAAGGTTTCCCTTTTCTCTTTCATCTTGCTCAAAATAAGTAC